GGTCAGATGAGGTCACCGACTGCGACAGCATGAGAATATGTGTCTTAGGCTTTTGGTATTAATTGCGATATGGCGAGAATTCCTAGAAACTCAAAAATCATAGACTGTTCAAGTGATTCGTTCCAATACTAAAAATAATATCGCAATCAAAAGCGCATTGAGCAATTAATTCACATCGTCCCACTAATAGTCCTGATCATTCAGTCCAGTTTATTGTCCTATGAAACGGTCGATAATTCTCTGAATTAATTGCTCGCGAGATTTTTAGATTACAAGAATTAATAGCTCGTCTTTTTCGAGCAAAGTCAACTGACGGAATAGTTCACTGCTTTCCGGTATTAATGAAGCGCCAGTAAAGTATCACTGATTGACGCCATACGTTTTAGGAAATCAAGTCTACACATCCATAGATTTTAGGCAGTAACACGTGTATGTAAGCATCCACATGAGATAGGAAACTACACATAAATTAGATATTACATTTACAATACAAATTAAATATATTACATTAAATATATTACAATACGTTTTGATACTTACCGGTATCAAAATATGTTATAAATATTCACAAATTACAAATTACGAATAGTATTCGTGTGAATACCGAAAAATTACAATTCGGTGAAATGGTGATAGTTCAAATGATTTGAAAAGAGAGAAATTCTATTGAATGGTTTTGAAAACGGTGAATGAAATGAACTGTTTGAGTGGTTGATTTCAATAATGTTGGTGGCGATGAACGTGAAGAACGAGATCGACGACTTTATGGCTTGGGAGGCTGCTGGCAACGAAGAAACAACTTTGACTTGCGCTCAGTTATTCCTTTCACCGAAGGCACTTCTGTGGAGTGCTCTATGTATTGCTCTTCTGAATATCGTTTCACTGGTTGTTAGTTACTTCATGTTATTCTTTTTGAAGTATTATTGAACTATTCTTACGATTATCTTTAATTTTTCAACTGATCGTTTCTGCATTATTTCTTCATACATTCATACATTCACCTTAGCTTGATATGCATGCATTCATGTGAATAGTTTGATATATCAGTGTATATATGGGTGGATGAAACTTGATGATGAGTCTT